CACACACACACACACACACACACACACACACACACACACACACACACACTCAGTAACCATCCACAGAAACAAAAATGATTTCCTGGTCGTCTTGTAGAAAATATCACTAACTCAAGAGAAGCCGGATGCTAAAGGAAGCTGTGGTGGAATCAGAGTGTGTGAAGCTGCAGTGAAACAGCTGGACACGTTCATTCTTTAACATCACTGAGTCAACGTGCTTCTCAAACAAATCACACAACCTCAACACCACGTCCTCATTGTGAGACGCTTCTGTAATCTCGCTACGCTGGTTGTTCTTCCCCCGCTGCAGATAAATGGACGTTAAACAGGCCAAAGACACTGGCAAGCTGCCACCACCGGACACAAACACACACACAAACACACACACACACACACACACACACAGAGTGTGTGACGCATTAGAGCATCACAGTTAAAGCGGGTTTTCCCCCCTCGAAACGGAAGTGTCCACTCAGCGCTTCTCTTCCCATCATGCTCTTCCCCTGGAACCAATTAAAGCACTGACATGTCTCAATTTGTAGCAGGACAGGTACAATTAGACAGATGTGTTTCAGCAACAGTGTTAAAAGACACTGACATCTCCTTTTACTGTGTGTGTGTGTGTGTGTGTGTGTGTGTGTGTGTGCGTGCGTGTGAGTGTGTGTGTGTAAGTCTAGATGTATTTGTATTAAATTGATGAGCAGAGATAGATGGTGACTTCACCATCTGGAAATCTTGTCTGGCTTTGTGCACAAAGAACTGCTGACCCACGATTCAACTCTTCAACTCCAGAGGAACGAGGGAGAGAGAGTGAGGTTAGTAGGGGGAGAGGACAAGGGAGGGAGGGAGGCGGAGCGCGTGTTAAAAGTGTTTGTCATGAAGAGAGGAATCAGTTTGTCAAAGCACTTTGTTCAGCCGTCAACTAGTTTGTGTGCACGTGTGCATCAACACACACACACACACACACACACACACGGTCTGCTTGCTGTTTGACTCGTGTACACGACACATGTTGTTTCCGTCAGACAACGGCCGACATGTAGGGAATAAAGAGGACGTTGTAGAAACGAAGTGTGAACGAACACGACTGACAAACAGTTCCTCTCCGCTCATTTCACTGTAACACACGTCAGACGCACACGTTGTGAGTTGGTGTTACACAACCACACGTCAGCTCGCTCCGACACACGACCTCACTGACGACGCCCGTCAGCGCAAAGCAGCAGGAAGAGAAGCCGTCGGACATTTTATTCCAATCTAAACTCACAACGACACTTTGTCCAGCGCCATCTTGGTTTTTTGAAACCAGAAGTAACCATATTTGGAGGAGGAGGGGGTGGAGCCTGACGCCCACGTACACCAGCGACTCGCACCCATTGGACGGTACTACCTGTCAATCACATGGTGTCCACGCCCAATTCGCACAGGGATTTATGGTCTGTTTAACTCTAGATGGATTAAAATTTACTGAACGAACATTATCAAACTAGAGATTGAGACATGAACGTCATAAAGTGAGAAGTCGAATCATTTTCTCATAAACTTCTGTAGAAACTAAACAACAATCATTTTGAAAACTTAACCTCATCGGTTCATATGTGACATTTTTATTTCTGCTTCACTTTTTTACGAAAGGAAAAACAAGTTGTAACTTTAAATTGACTGAAACATAAACTGAAGAAAAACTGTATTTGCTTTATCGACCACAGAGTTTCATGAAGCTGAACCACATCCAGGCCTCGGATCCTGTGTCTTCTGGCTCACTGCGTTTTTTTTATTGTTAGTTGAGAAAAAGGGTCTTATTCTAACACATAATACGTTCACTTTGACTTCACAAGAAATTATTCTGCAACTTTAAATTGACCAAATCCAAAAACCTACAGTAATCATTTTTTTAATTGTCAAAGAAACGAGCTCACAACCTCTCACTTGTGGGTTTAACTGTTGGACACGAAGACACATCCGAGCCTTTTGTTCTGTGCTGCGCTGATAAAAGTTCACGGATCCATCATGATAAGCCGTGGGACCTCAGATAGGACTCAGA